AAAATATATTCTCTACAGGAATTTTGTAAGTCCTCCAGGAGCTTCTCTGGTTTGCTTCTGCAGGAGTTTGTTATAGAGTTGCTCTGGAGATCCTTGCAATTTTCTAAGGAAAATACCTTTCTAGGAATCTTGTAGGTCCTCCAGGGCAATTCTATGGTAACCTCCAACATAAGTCATTCATTTCAATAGGCTTTGCTGTTATCCACACTTTCCTTTTTCCATGGTAAGTTCAAGAATGGATCCCTTGTGGATACATAGCTCATTATGTATGCCATCCTGGCTTTTATGAAATGTACTTATGAAGTACAAAAAACCCACAGAATTAGTAACATTTTGCCTACTTGGAGAAATACACTAGAAGACTGTATTTCAAGACTGTATTTCAAGTCTTAGTCTCCTTGTTCAATTTCGCATTACCAATCTTGGAGTCCACAGTTTAACTCTGCGTTAAACTGTGACACATATTTCTGAACATGGTTTTCAAAATCAAGCATGTTTATATTTATTTTCCATTGACATGACTATAGCAAGCCTTCACAGGTGCTTCAAATGTATGCATTCTTCATGGACGTTTTAACATTTCCCCCAGTTTTTAAATGCACTTTCTGATTTGCAAACTAAACTGCAACCTGGGAAATCTGTGGAGTTCTAATTGCAAATTGTGGCAGAATCTGTGTTCAGTTCCAAGATCTGTAAACTAAGCAATTTCACGTGAACATGTGAGCGCAATGAATTTCTCATCTATCTCTCAATGAAAATAATGTAAATGAAGATCTTAGGACTGGATTTTACATTTTGATAGTTTATGATATTTATATGTTTTAATTGTCTGTTGCTTTGATGTATTGTATTTTAAGTTGTGGAATATGCGGCATTAAATATTGCAATTTTGTGCACAACTCAGAGTCCCCTGCAAGGGTGAGAAGAGCGGGTTAGAAATTAAAAATAAATAAATAAATAAATAAATAATGTCTCTGAGCATGAAAGAACTTAAATACCCTTAAGGAACCACATCCCATGTGATCTTTAAAGCTCAGAAGGGTTGGCCCTTGCTAGTACTTGTATGAGGGCCACCAATGAATGGTAAGTGCTATACGGTATACTTCAGGGGAACTGGGAAAGCCACATTCTGAGTATTCTTCACCTAAGAAACCCCTATGGATCAAGATGAGTAAACAGGTGACTTGAAGGCACACAGCTGCATCCCTAAACATGCACGTATCTCATGTACAGTGAGAATCAAGTGGCCTTCCAGATATTGTTGAAACCCAATCTGCAGCACTCTTCAGCACTAGTTACAGTGTTCAGACTTGGTAGGCTGTATCCCAGGCATGGGCAAACTTTGGCCCTCCAGATGTTTTGGACTTCAATTCCTAACAGCCTGCAGTATGGGCAAACATTGGCCCTCCCTCCAGTGTTTTCTACTTCAATTCCCACAATTCCTAACAGCCTGTAGCATGGGTGAACTTTGGCCCTCCCTCTAGGAGTTTTGGACTTCAATTCCCACAATTCCTAACCAACTGTGCCATGGGCAAACTTTGGCCCTCTCTCCAGGTGTTTTGGACTTCAACTCCCACAATTCTTAACAGCCTTGGACCACTTTCTTCCTTTCCTTTCTGCTTAAGTAGCTGAGGGGGTAAAGGAAAGGGTCTGAGGCTGTTAGGAATTGTGGGAATTGAAGTCCAAAACACCTGGCAGGAAAGCCAAAGTTGGTCCGTGCCTGCTGTAGCCCAACAAATGAATAGGAGAAATGTCCCACTTCTGACCCACCAAGTGCAAAGAAAAAATATGCACTGCACATTTGCATTTCTGGAAATAGCACCAAAGATGCCTTTCAGAGGACAACGATACAGAAGAGGAAAGGATGCCAATTATAACTGTACATTTTGTCCAGCATGAAGGAATTTTCTCACACGTCACTCTCTGGTTGTAAGAACACAAAAGGAAAGTGGAAGGATACTAGATTGAACTAAACTGAGAAAAAAATATGTTTCCTGTAAATTATAGTTTTTCAGATGTACATCATTTCAGGTGTACAGTGAAAAGGGAAACAAAGTCTCTTGTCATCTTGAGATATCTGTCATAATGCTAGGACTGGTTGCAGCTCTGAATTGAATGAGTTCGCAGAGGAAAACCTAAACAGTCCAGTTTGAATCACAAAACCAGGAAAAGCAAATTCTGAGGCATTCGGCCTGAACTACCAAAAAAATGAATTTCAGGATCCCTTCTTTCTATTTCCTCAAGACACTGCATGCTAAACATCCAAAACAACTGTGGGTTATGCAGAAATCAGGAAATGCTTCAAAATCCCAAACTATCCACTATGAATATCTAAGATACTGACACCTTTACTTCCTGATCGTTCAAAGTACACAAACTTTGTTTCATGCACAAAAAATATTAAAATATTGTGTATAAGGCATATAAAAAGGTAAATGTTTCCCCTTGACATTAAGTCTAGTCATGTCCAACTCCGGAGTGTAGTGTTCATCTCCATTTCTAAGCTGAAGAGCCAGCATTATCCGTAGACACCTCCAAGGTCATATGGCAGGCATGACTGCATGGAGCGCCGTTACCTCCCCGCCGAAGCAGTATCTATTGATCTACTCACATTTGCATGTTTTCGAACTGCTAGGTTGGCAGAAGTTGGGGCTAACAGCAGGAGCTCACCCCACTCCCTGGATCTGGATCACCAACCTTTCAGTCAGCAAGTTCAGCAGCTCAGTGGTTTAACCCACTGTGCCACCAGGGCCCTGGATAAGGTGTATAATATGAAACAAAAATGTATTTGGTGCTGAGGCTTGTGTCCCATTTCCATTATGCATATGAAAATCTTCCAAAATCAGGAAAGGGGGCAAAATTCTAGTGCCAAGCCTTAGAGATAAAGGAGGCCATTCCACGGATTATACTCCAACAGGTTCCACTGCAGGTACACAAGAATTATTATATTAGGAAGGGGTTGGAAGTGCTGAAGGAAGGGGACTCCCTTCCCCTTCAGTATCTCTTATCTGCAGTCAAGGAAGTGCCTTGCCTCCCTTGGCCCTCCTGTGCTGACAGGGAAGAAAGACGGTTTGCATCTACACCAAGTGTCTTCAAACTGCAGCTCTCCAGCTGTTTGGGCCTCCAACTTCCAGAAGCCCTGGCTAACTTGCTCAATGGTCAAGAACTGTGGGAGCTGGAGTCCCAGACAGCTGGAAGGCTCCCTGATCTCCACAGCAGAAATAATGCAGTTTGATGTCGCTTTAACAGCTCTGGCTCAATGATATGCAATCATTGGAGTCGTAGTGCCCTTCCAGAAAGGCCCTATATTCCAGGATCTGATCCCAGGTTTTCTGCTTTAAAGTGGATTATATGAGTCTTCACTGCCAGATAATCTGGGACAAAGAGAAAACCTCGGATCAGATTCTGGGATAAAGTGCCTGTCTGGAAGGGCTGGTGGTTTCATTAAGTCTTTTTTAGCCAAAGAGGGCTGGTTGCCTCGCCAAAGTGCAACTCCATAGGATGTCCACAACAGTTCAAGCAGCATGAATCTGCACTCATAACTGCAAATTCTTGTAAAACTACAAATCCCAGGATTCCCTTGTACACTCCTGGTCCAGTGTAAAGGCACCCCTTCCAGTATAGGCAGTCCCCATGTGACAAACGAGAGGGGTTCTGTGGGCTTGTTCTTAAATTGAATGTGTGAAGTCTGAACAGGTACCCTTCTTAAATGCCAATCTCCAGCAATATCTATTATGCAAGCTTTGGATATCCTGGAGCTCCTGGTGGCGCAGCAAGTTAAATGCTAAGCTGCTGAACTTGCTGACCAAAAGGTTGGCACATCGAATCCAGGGAGTGGGGTGAGCTCCTGCTGTTAGCCCCAGCTTCCGCCAACCTAACAGTTTGAAAACATGCAAATGTGAGAAGATCAATAGGTACCGCTTAGGCGGGAAGGTAATGGTGCTCCATGCAGTCATGCTGGTCACATGACCTTGGAGGYGTCTACGGACAACGCTGGCTCTTTGGCTTAGAAAAGGAGATGAACACCAACCCCCAGAGTCAGACACAACTAGAGTTAACATCAGGGGAATACTTTGGATAGCCTATGGAAGAGTGAACATCCCAGTGGCATTTCCTTTGCTGCCTGTGCCCCTGTTCAGGAGATTTCACCTCGATTTCTGTCCCTGTGATCATTTTGGGAAATTTCATTTGAAGGAYGGGTGAGAAAGGTTCAGCGGAGACACCTTTCCGCTCTGACAACAACTCTTTCAGGAGCAAATTTCCCTTCTGAAAGGGAAGATTTCTCTCACTGGGTTGTTGTAAGTTTCCCAGGCTGTATGGCCATGTTCCAGAAGCATTCTCTCCTGATGTTTCACCTGCATCTATGGCAGGTATCCTCAGAGGKKGKRARGSWTGGKSYCWGRSMCCAWSCYTYMCMMCCTCTGAGGATACCTGCCATAGATGCAGGTGAAACATCAGGAGAGAATGCTTCTGGAACATGGCCATACAGCCTGGSAAACTTATAACAACCCAGTGATTCCGGCCATGTTGTTGTTTTCGTGTCTGGAGTGACTTGAGAAACTGCAAGTCACTTCTAGTGTGAGAGAACTGGCCGTCTGCAAGAACGTTGCCAGGGGACGCCCGGATGTTTTGATGTTTTACCATCTTCCTCTCATGGGAAGCTGGAGCTGACAGACGGAGCTCATCCGCGCTCTCCCCGGATTCGAACCTCCGACCTGCTGGTCTTCAGTCCTGTTGGCACAAGGGTTTAACCCATCGCACCACGGGGAGCTCCTGATTCCGGCCATGAAAGCCTTGACAATACATTGATTTCCCTCACTTCCTGTTGTCTCTGCCCCGTTCTGAACTGTGAGTCGTTTGCAAGTGGGATGTTTGCAAGTCGGGGATTCCCCAGCATGGAGGGAGGGCTGCCAAGGCGCGTTCGTCCTCCAGTGGAGACGCAAGGAGGGCGGGAAAAGAGGGAGGGAGGGAGAGAGGGAGGGGAGGGGGGCCTGCCTCACCGGCGTTGTAGAATCGGTCGAGGACGGCGGTCTCTCCGAAGTCGAGCTTCCCAAAGTGGAGCGCCTGGAGCTCGGCGCCCACGGTCTCGCAAGCCTCGCGCAGGCTCTGCAGGGCCCCGCTCTCCGCCTGCAGGACGGCGCCCGGGCTGGCCTCGTTGATCACGTACGACACCGTGGTCCGGCGGGCCCCCCGGGACCGGGCCCCGGCCTCGCAGGCGACGGTGGTGCTCCCGTGGCCGCTCTCCTCATTCCAGAAGGCGCCGGGCGGAGCTGCCCGCGAGGACCCCGCTCCGCCCGCCCCGGCCCCGGCCTTCCTCCCGAAGGCGTCCTCGCAGAGCAGCAGCGGGCATCCGCCCCCGACCAGGCTGGGCACCGAGAAGGTGATGCCCGCCGCCTCGCTGCTCTTGTCGCTCATCGCCGCTTCGGAGCCCAAGCCGGCACCATCGAGGCGCGCGCCGGCCTTCCGGGACTTAAAGGGCCCCCGCTCTGGTCGCGGGACACTTGTTGCATCGCTCCCGCCTCCGCCGCTTCTGCCGCTCCGCGCCTGAGCCAGGAGAGACCCCGCCCCTCGGGAGGGGGAGAGAGGGAGGGAGGGAAACGGGGCGGAGCTCGCCGCGCGCCCGTCAACACCCGCCGCCCAGCAGCAGCAGCAGCGCCCACGGTTGGCCAGGGGCAATCCCTGCGGAAGAGCGCCCCCTGCTGGCCCTGCCCTGGAAGGGTTTCGCCCAATCGCTTGCTTTCCTTCCTCAACTAGAGCCGTGGCTCTTAACCTTCCCAATCCCGCCACCCCTTCATGCAGTTCATCATGTTGTGGTGACCTGCCAACCATAAAATTGTTTTCATTGCTACTTCATAACTGTAATGTTGCAGAAGCATACGAGAAACTCGGCCTGTCATTGAACATCGAGAAAACCAAAGTGCTCTTCCAGCAGTCACCAGCCAATCTCTCTCCAATGCCAGAAATATGATGATGATGATGATGATTATTATTATTATTTAAAACACTTATATTCCGCGCTTCTCACCCCGAAGGGGACTCAGAGCGGAGCACAACATATACATAGCAAACATTCAATGCCCGGGTACAATACATAAACATTAAAAACATTTACGGTATCTAAATATTAAAATACACCATTTAAAATAACACAATTTAAAACCGTCCTAGCCATCCACATCAAATCCAACTGACCCTGTCATCTTTCCCATTGTCGCTTCATTGCCCTGTGCCGAAAGCTTGGTCCCACAGCCAAGTTTTTACCATCATTCTAAAGAAATACAGCTTAATAGTGCAACATTAGAAAATGTTGACCATTTCCACTACCTTGGCAGCCATCTCTCCACAAAAGTTAACATTGACACTGAAATACAACACCGCCTGAGCTCTGCGAGTGCAGCTTTTTCCCCGAATGAAGCAAAGAGTGTTTGAGGACCGGGACATCCGTAGGGATACCAAGGTGCCTGTTTATAAAACTATTGTCTTCCCAACCCTGCTATATGCCTGCAAAACATGGACTGTCTACAGACATCACATGCAACTCCTAGAACAATTCCAACAATTCCAACAATGCTACCTCCAAAAAAATCCTGTAAGTCTCTAGGGAAGACAAGCGAACAAATGTCAGCATGCTAGAAAAAACAAAGACCACCAGCATTGAAGCGATGGTCCTCCGCCATCAACTCCGCTGGACCAGCCACGTTATCCGGATGCCCGACCACCATCTCCCAAAGCTGTTGCTCTATTCCGAACTCAAGAACGGAAAACAGAATGTTGGAGGACAGGAAAAGAGATTTAAATATGGGCTCAAAGCCAACTTAAAAACTCTTTCATAGACACTGAGACCTGGGAAACCCTGGCCCTTGAGCGCTCCAGCTGGAGGTCAGCTGGGACCAGCAGTGCTGTAGAATTTGAAGAGGCATGAATGGAGGGCGAAAGAAAGAAACGTGCCAAGAGGAAGGCACGTCAAGCCAACCCTGACCGGGACCGCCTCGTGATAATGCGGCATTAAGAGCCACATCCACTGTTTTAGCGTGGTGAGATGTGTTCCACACTGGGCATGCATACTCAGCAGTAGGGTAGCAAAGCGCAAGGGCAGATGTCTTCACATTATCTGGTTGTGATCCCCAGGTTATGCCAGTCAGCTTTCATATGATATTGTTTCTAGTGCCCACTTTTTGCTTGATATTCAGGCAGTGCTTCTTGTAGGCCAGAGAGTAGTCCAGGGTAACTCCCAGGTATTTGGGTGTGCTGCAGTGCTCCAGTGGGATTCTTTTCCAGAAATGACCAGAAGAAGCGAAATAGCCAAATGCCTTAAATCACTACTGAATGAGAGGTCATGAGTTAGAAGCCAGCCCAGGTCAAAGTGAGCTCCAGACCATTAATAGTCTAGCTTGCTGTTGACCTATGCAGTTTAAATAATGCACCAGTAAGTCCTTCTCGTGGACCACCATGAGAATTTGGGGGGGGGGTGAAGCCCCTCAAGGCCCCCCCCCCCTTGCTACATGCCTGCTGCCTGGGGTCAATGCTATGCAATTATGAGAGCTGGAGTTTCACAGTCTTTATAGCCTTCTCTGCCCAAGAGTGCTGGTCCCTTCCCAAACTGCAAATCCCAGGATTCTGTAACATTGAGCCATAGTAGTTAAAGTGGACTCAAACTGCATTAACACTATGGTGCATCGTGGATGCACCCCAGTCATCCTTTCTCCTTGGCATTTACTATATACTTCAGCCTATAACAAGAAACACATGAAGGAGAGCCATAGGCCCCTGGGTTCAGGAACTTAAGATATAAGTAGAGATGCTCTTTTTATCTATAATACCAGACGTGCAATAATTAATACATTATTGGATACTGTTTTACCAGAAACTTCTGCATATTATCTTTTTTTGAGCATCTCCTCTCTGAAAAAATATTTCAAAATATTAATAGATGGAACATGTTAGTTATTTTAATAATAACTTAAAAACTGCTTCATTGCACCTGGGATCTTTCTCGCATGCTAGAAATAGGGCAGCCAGTGAAGATGGTGGAGCTCTGGAATCATAATATGAGTGTCAATCAACACTGGAGTCCAGGTTGGGAAGTTTCAACACCATTTTCAAAGGAGACTCTATGTTTAATTCATCGTGATACATCTAACAGATGATTACCAGAGCATACATAACTGCTAAAATGTTTTCTCCATGCAAGTGGGATTGTAATTGGTATATTAACCTCAACTGAAAAAGGCACTCGGAGGCACCAACACTAGCAGCTCTGCCTTAGAAACAATGATGTATCTTAGAAAAGCTGTTATCTATCCTGCTCCTTTAGAGGGACTCCCAGGCACAAGGTGGGCATATCTGGATACACAAACCACACTCAGCAACTCAGGGTAATGGTGTATCTATGCAGTAGAATTATAGCTGTTTGATATTATTTTACATGGTATGGCTCCATTCTGTGGATTCCTGGGAAGTGTGTGTATGTGTGGTTTTGTAGATTGTTAGCTTTCTTGCTAGAGAATTTTGGTGTCCTAGCAATCCGCAGAGCATTCTAAATTCCTCAACAAATTACAAATGCTGGATTTTGTAGGTTGGAGCTACAATAATCTGCAAGGTAACATACTGCTATAATCATGCCATGTGGGTACAGGTGGAATTTCACTTTATGGTCTTTTCTGCAGTCTACTGTTCTGCTCAAAGACTAATTCTGCATATTGTCATCATACATAGATGTTGCTCTTTGGACAGACCTGATTGTAGAGACCGATTTTGAATTCTGTCTAGAATAGATGCATAAGGAAGACCAAGAAGATTATCAGGTCAATGAAGAAAAGTTTTTTCTTAAAATAAATTGAGTCTAATTCATGCCTGCTATCCCGGGGAATCCTTAATAAGTATGGTTATCCTGAAGAAATTGATCCTCAATTTCTCTTCAGAACTCTCTACAAACATAATCCTGATAGAGAAACTTCCATTTATTAATGGTTCTTAAAATTAAAAGACCCCAGGTTCCTTTTTTAACCTTCTGCTTAATTATGAGGGTTTTCCTAAGTACTGAAGGATAATGTCTTTCTATATTGAACCACATCTAGGAGCAGATGGCAATTTTGGTTGCTTTGGACTTCTAAGTACTATTGATGCTGCTTATTTGCTTGCTTCCCTCTCTTCAAGCCCAGTCCATTCTGCCATACAAAAGGATATGAGAAGATGAATAGAAGCTGATGGTTCTCTTACAACCGACATAGAGGAAACTGGTGAATTTACAATAACAGCAAGCAGAAGAACCAGTGGGTTACAGGGTTCAATGAGCTTCCTGGTGCATTGCTGACCTTGGCATTGCCCAGAAATGCTGAACCACAGCACCTATTTTCATAGGCAAAACATTATGTTCTGTCAAGACTGCATACAGCAGAGTGAGCTAATGACCCCATACGTTCAGCTATCATACTCCCTGACCATTGGCTATGCCAGTCATAATGGTGTCATTATTTCATGCTGTTTGAACCCATGGTTCACTAAATGTAATACAACGTGCACAAACTGTGTTATTCTTATTCCATTGAGGATGTTGTGTATTTTTTCCTTTTTTCATCTATGTAGTCCTATTATTTTCTGTGTGTATGTGTTTTCTGCAAAAATGTTAACAATGCTTCAATTGTTGTCCTTTAAGTTCTTTCAAGTTTTAAAGCGACAGGGAAAAAATTCAGATTTTGAATGTATTTTGTTTCAATTTATTTTTCTAGCAAAGTCTCTGCCAGTCATTTTCTGTAATAAAATAAAAACTGTTGTTGACAACTCATAAAATATGGTCTCCTGGGATAGCCTTAAAAGATTATGTACGCGAACTGTTAAACTGGTGATAAACAGCTACAGGTGGTACTGGAGATTTTGAGACTGGTTTTATATTTTTACAAACACAAGACTTCTGATGGCAAATCAGTTTGACTCAAAGGTGATTGTGCAAATGTCTCTAGGCATGCCAGCTTTATAACTTGGGCCCAGGAATGTATGTTTTTACTACAGTTCTACTTAAGATACAAATTGGCAAGATAACATACATTGTAGAAGAGATCTAGAATTAGTAGCTATTAGTGGCTACAGTGTTAATGGGTTCAATATCCTGGTCAAACATGATTATATTGATATGTCTTCACCTAGGTATATGAGAACAAGCATCAAAATAATCTTAAAGAGGACAATAATCACAATCAGCTAAAAGGCTTTTTGGATCCCCCAGATTTATCTGGCAATTCCTTCCCAGCATTGACTTCTGTTGAACAGTACTGCATTTTAAAGCACAAAGTTGCTTTTTAATAGGACAGGCATCATGTGAAAGTGAAAAACAGAAAAAAACTATTTTGTTTTGGCCCCATTCTTTGCCCTTGGCCCAATCTAGGGATAGAGTGTGACCTGCCAGGACCTTTAAAATTGAAACTGGCCCCTTAAGATGAAAAATATTAATTTTTGAGCAACCCCCTCAGTCATTGCTACTAAATGAATTATTTTATTAGAACTGTTCCTTTGGCGGTATCACAGACATAGCTGTCATACAGACAGAGAGATGAATAG